GGTGGCCCCAACTTCTCCAAGGGGAGGCCCAGATGGCCTCCAGATCACCGAGGGGTCCCTCGCCGCTGCAGGCGAGTCCTCGGACGAGGAGCCGATCCCACTCGGCTGAGCGTCTGAGGAGGAGGTTCCTCGGGGCCAGCGAGACAGTCTGTCAGGCGGCCGCCACACGAGCAGCCGGGCAGAAATTCCATGTCCAGGTAACTTCTCATCGCCGCTGCAACGGCAGCCAAAAAAAAATGCCAAGGGGCCCATGGGGGTCCCAGGGTGCTCCCAAGGTGTCGCGACAGGCTGGGGCAATTGGACCAAGACCACTTCTGGCAGCCTCCGGCTCCGGCGTCGAGGCTCGAGGATCTTTTTGGGGCGCTCTTGGCCCTCTCCGGGCCCTCTCATGGCCCTCGGGAGGCCCTGTGGGAGCCTCCGGTGGCCTCGTCTGGGGTCCTTTTCCGATCCCGCCGGCTCGATTCGATTCGAGCTCCCTGGCGGCCGACCTGAGAGCCGACTCGATGCGGAGACGCTGACCCGCGAGTCCGATTTCGACTTCGCCCGATCCGACTCCTGCAGGTTCGCTGTGCCAGCCGCTGTCCGCCGGTTCTGGCCGATTCTGGCCCGAGGGGGGCCCCCAGAGGCCCCTAGGGGCCCCCGAGGCCCCTCGCCCAGGGGGCCTCCGAGGGCCCCCAGGGGCCCCCAGGAGCCTCCACCTACGAGGGGCCCGCCGCCGCCGCCGCCGACGACCGTCGTCGACGACCCGCGCGACGACGCGAAGGACGACGTGCACGACGACGCGTGACGAAAAGTGCGCACGACGACGTGCGACGACCAGAGTCGGGTCAATCCCCTCGTCCCCCGTGCCTGCCGAATTCGGTTCCGAGCCTACCTCGCGCCGTCCTGTCCGTATTTGTCGGCTCTTGCCGATTGGATGGTGCAGCTGACTTTTGCCGATTCCTGCCGATCCGACTCTCGCGCCGATCCGACGTCCTCGTCAGGGGCGTCGGAGTGCCGCCGCGCAGGCTGGCCTAAACCGCTACGCCGCTGACGACCTCCTCTTTTTTTGCGTTGAGCGCGATGCTTGTTGCGTCCAGGCTGGAAAAACGGTGGGGCTGACTAGGGCAACAAAGCGCGATACGAATTCGGCAGAGCGCGCGCAGCAGTACCAGGAGGGGAGCCATAGAGGAGCAAGAGAGGTAGGCCCGAAAGGGCACAGAGTATGCGCTCGCTCTGCATTGCAAGAGGAGAAAGCAAAAACGCCACAAAACATAAACTTTTGGCGCTCCGAGCTGATTTCTTGGATCGGCGCTGGGCCCCCCCCTGGCGGCGCCTCCGATGCCGCCCCTGGCGCGCTCCGCGCGCCAGGGGAGGGGGGCACCAGCGCAGATCCAAGAAGTCCGCACAGAGCGCCAAAAGTTTTATGCCTGTGGCGTGTTTTCTTCTCCTATTCGACCGGAAGAGGTGCGCTCTCGACCCGCGGATCAAATCAAGTTTTCTTCTCCTAACCCCCGCCGCCTTCTCTGGCAGGCGCCGCCCCTGCGGCCGGCGCTGCCCCCTCTCGTCGGCAAGGGCTCCTCCTCACTTCCCCAGGTCGGAGGTGGATAGACCTCCTACCCTGGCGCGTCGATTAGTGAATTGGCCGTTTTCGGTTCGCGAGAGGGCGTCGCGGCCGCTAGTTTGACGGGTCTAGGTCCGTCGGTTTCGGTCCTGGGTCGTTTTTCTCTAGAGGGAGGTTTGCTAAAGAGAGGTTTGTCCACCGCTGACCAGAGGGGTTCCCTCTGCTCTGTCCCCTCCTCCTGCACGGTGACACAATTCGCTTACCACGGTACCCCCGTTTGGGTAGCCCTCCGCCAGCGCAGTTCCTCTGTTCAGCCGCCGTCGCAAAACAAAATCTTCCTTAAAGGGATGTTTTAAATCACCTTTTTGTGCCCCGCAAATTTCTGATAGGCTTCATCCGTCGATGATTGCGGGGATCGTTGTGTAACTTTGCGCGGGATGAGGCGCGTGCCGCCGGTTGCGTTGTGAGAGCGCGCGTCGCCGCGAGTGGCGCCCCCCGGGCGGCACCGCCCCCTTTCGAGTAGGGGGTCGATTGCAGAGTCGGTCTGCCCCAAACTCGATCTTCTCGCCGAGTTCACGAACCATGCGTCGAATGTTCGTAGGTGTGCGAACGTTCTGCCCACTGTTCGTGGACTCGGCGTGAAAGCCAGTAAGGGGATAAACAGATCCTGTAGTCGATCCCCGACCCGACCCCTGCGGGCGCCGCCAGTCCTCCTTTGTCCCCCCCCCCCGCCGCTGGCCTTTCTTGGCGCCCGTGCAGAGTTTTTGTTCCAGTCTCGGTCGGTATTCTGCTGGTTGCGGTGCCAGCCTGAGCATGTGCTGGCGCCGTTTCGGCGACCCCTCGCACTCCTCCCCGCGCCCGTCCCCCCCGGTCGACGCCAAGGTGCGTCTCCTCGAATTTGCTCGGCATGCTTGCATGTGCGGTCGGCTTTCGACAGTGACGGCTGGGTTCGCAAATTATTTGGCTCTGTGCCCCAGTCAGCCCGATTGACCCGCCCTCTGGAGTTGTCCTTGGGGCCGCAGATCAAAAAAGCCAGCCTGTGCAGACGGACTCTCAGCTCTATATATGTCAGCGTCGCAATCTTCAATGTCGGCCAGCGCGTGTGCCCCAGGCACTTCTGTTTTGCAGTCTGTGCGGTGCGAGCCAGCTGGGGCAATCGATGTGGTGCAGCCGAGGCGATGAAACTCATGCGGTGCAGTCTATGTCGCGAAATGCAATGCAGTGCAATGCTATGCAAAGGAATGCAAACCAACGCGAATCAACGCAATGCAACTCAATGCGAAACAATGTGAAACAGTGCGTTGCAGTGCAAATCAATGCAACGCAATGCAAAGCAATGGAAAGCAAAGCAATGCTATGCAAAGCAATGAAACGCAATGCCAAGCAATGCGATGCAATGCAAGGCAATGCAAAGCAAAGCAATGTCCGTAGCAATTTTGGCTCAAACCAGCAGGCTCGGTGCGAGACATACCGACGGTCACTGGTAGCGGCCATTTGCGGGACGGCCATGACCTTGGAGGACACCGCGGAGCTTCTCAGGAAGACGAGTCGGCCCCGGACTGCTCGGCAGGCGAGGTAAGGGCGAGGTGGCAGCAGCAACGAATCGCAGCTGTCGCCGGCGCGAGTACGCTCGTCGTCCTCGTCGTCATTGTCTCTTGTGCACGCTCGCAGCACGAAGGACTGCGGTAGAGGTTGTCGTGTGATTTCGATGGAGAGAGGGGATGCGAGCTGTTCTGGGACCTTCGAAGCTGAACATGCCACATATGCTGGTGGATCGGTACAGAGCGATCTTGCTGGCTATTCTGGCACTGGGTATGTCGATATGCTACCTGGGCTCGATAACATAAGCTTCATCGAATGGGCAATTGAATCTTGCGTAGCTGGGGTTCATGAGCTCAAGGTTACGTATAGTTCGCCGTCAGCGGGTCGCTTCTTGCAGCTCATGGTGAATTCAACGGTGGAAGTCGATTCCTGGAGTTTCCCTGCTACGGGGTCGTGGAGTACGTGGGAGACTGCCGCACACGATGTCATGTTATCGGTGGGGTCAAATACGATCAGGATCTCAGCAATAATTTCTAGTAATCTCAGTGTCGATAATTTGGAAATCACGCATAAACAAACATAATTGTTCGACAATTCAGCGGTGCATATCGATAGCATCACCTTGCCCCCCGAGACGGTGTCCTCGCTGGAGTCGGTACTACGGTTCGCACGCGGTACTGGTTTCGGGCTCCTCAATTTCACCAGATGCGCCTTGGTGGGCAGCTCGAGCCTCATGGTGGGCTCTGGCGCCAGGGCGCAGATCGACGCCTACGACACGGTCATCCGCCTCAACCGCATGCCTTCAGCTTCGGTGGCGAGCGACTTCGGCACCAAGACCGACGTGTTCTTCATGAACCACCCTGCCTCCAGATTTGAGGCCGTGGAGATGCTCCAGAGGGAAGGAATGAAGCCGAGGAGAACCAGCTGCCGGGATATGGACAACTGCAAGGCTGCGGCCATATTGCAGAGGGGCGACAACCACTGCAGCCCGCAGAAGATGGCAAGTCAGTACTGGGGCTGGGACCACTCCATGATCGGCTGCGTCCGCCCCAACGTCAGCCTCACCGCCTATGGCTTCAAGCACCTCGAAGGCTTCCAGTCGTCCACTGGCTTCCAGGCGTTCCTGGCCTTCCTGCCGCTCTGCCAGGAGCTGGACCTCTTCGGCTTCGGAGGCAACGCCGCCGCCGACGGCCACTTCGAGTGGTCGGGCCACAACCTCCACGAGGAGCACCGCATCCAGGACGCGGTCGCGGCCAGGGAGTGGTCGAGGCTCGAGTGGTCGGAGCACGCCGACCGCCTCCGGGACGCGGTCGCGGCCAAGGCGTGGGGCGCCGCGGGGGCGCGCGGCGACGATCCCTGGCCCTGGATGCAGGCGCGCGCGGCGAGGGTTCGGAAGTTCCGGTAGCGGGCGGAGTCCGCCGGCAGCGGGCGCGAGAGCCCGGGGCTGCGTGCGGCGGCCGTTCGATGGCGGCGGCCGCCTCGGCGCTCGCGCCGCGCTTGACCATCCCTCGTTTTGACGTCGTTTTTTCTATGGTTTAATATTGTAAGTTTGCCTGGCGTCCAGGGGCCCTGGGGGCGACGCTGACGCTTGAGGAGTATTTCGAGCCACGTGAGCTCTAAGGGTGCTATTCGGGTATGCTGGGTTTTTGCTCTAATTTTTGTAGTGCGCGTCGATGGCGGCTCCCGTGCGGGCCTGATCTCCGCGGCCACTCTGTGAACCGACGCAGCGCAATTGGTAAACCAACACGATACATTCTTACTATCAATCCACTTCCCAGCCCCTTGTTCGTGTCGGCAGCGCTTGTAGGTGAGCCTATCTCTTCATCTCTCGCTCAAGCCATCGCTTCTGAAAAACATTTCCAGGCATTGGCACGGCCATTGCAATTTTTTATGGCCGTCAACCTGACGACCTGAGAAACGAGGGGAGAGCAGCTGGAAGCAATAATACAGGAGAAGGAACTGGGGAGTGCGACGAGAAGGGGAAGGTGTGGGTCAAGGAACAGGGTGTGCAGACGTACTCGCGGACCACACAGGGGATCTAATGATCTCTTGGCCCGATGCTTTTAAGGCCATCCTGGTCCAGGAGGGCGATTGCGCAGCAGCTGTATTCATAACCGGCTCATGGGCGGATACGCCGGAAGGCCACAGACACGAGTTTCTCATGCTCCGCAGCACGAAGCAATATTCGCCGGGCAGCGCAAGACACATCTAAGCCAGTGTTTTCGACGACTCCTCGAGGCAAATAGCTTCGAACTCCAGAGCGGGCGGCGACGACGGGCGGCGACGGGCGGCGGCCAGCCGGGTCCAGTTCCATAGGAGATTGGTCAGGTACCCTGGAGGCAGGCTTTTGTGTTCTGGGACAGTGCGAGCCCCTCACCCTCCAGGGCCTGGCAGGGCCCCCTTAGAGTCGAGCGCTGCAGGCTCTCACCTGGACCCTCCCGCTCCCTCGCGCTCTCGGCCGCGCTCGCTCGTGCGTGCCCCTCGGTGGCTGCCAGGCCGGTCCAGCCTCGCCCCAGGCCCTGCTGTTGCCTCTCTGGGGGCTGGCCTGTCCTCCTCCTCCTCCTCCTCCTCCTCCTCCTCCTCCACCTCCTCCTCCTCCTCCTCCTCCTCCTCCTCCTCACTCCTCCCCCTCCTCGCCCCTCCTCCCCCTCCTCCCCTCCTCCCCCTCCTCCCCCTCCTCCCCCTTGGCCCCGGGCAGCTGGCCCGTGGGCCCGTGCGGGGTCGCGATCACTTGTGGGAAGGGTATTCTTCATGCATCGAGAACGAGCGTCAGAGGCCCCCTCCCTCCTGCTTCTCTCCCTCTCCCTCCTCGTATTCTTGTCCCGTTAGTTGCATATTGTTGCCAGTGCGCGCGACGGCTCGCCTATCGCACGTTGGCCTCAGCGTTGCTCCGTTGGGTGCATTTTATTTTCTCCGCCGTGCACTGCACGGAACCAGATGATACGAATCTGGGCATTCGCGTTACGACGGTGGTTCTTGAATCATGCGGTCCGCTCCCATCTTCTCCCTCCAAAAAAAAGAACGAGCGTCAGGTCACGAAAGACTACCATCTACCGTCGCAGTCTGATGCATGAGCCGGGCCGACTAGAGATTGGAGGCGGTAGTCGACTCCTTCAGCACCTGATGCGAAATCACAGTCTTTCGGGCTTCCGGGGGAGTATGGTTGCAACACTGAAACGCGCAAACATTGACGGAAGGGCGCCACCATGTCGACAACGAGCGTGATGGGGGATGGGGGGGGTGAGGGGCGGAGGGGGCGCCGCTCACGTTAACGGCCCGCGCTGGCGCCGCCTGGGAATGCTGAGGGATGGCTGGTTCTCAGACAGCGCTGGCACGACTCGTGGCGTTACAAGGGGGCGGGGGGGGTGGAGGCTTGTAACCCAGACCCCCGACGTCTTGTTTTTTTCGCAGCGGCGACTCCCAGAGGTCTGGACCCCTTCCTGGGGACCGGCTTTTCATCCCGAGTTGCTTTTTCTGACGGCCCCGAGGCCCGGGCAGGGCCCCCCGGAGGCCGAATATGGCGAAAACCCTCCCGTCGCGAATTTTTTTTCATGACTCGAGGGGGTCGGGCTCCCCGAGACGCCCAGGAACGTCCAGAAGCCTCCTCGATCCTGCTCCTCCTCCTCCTCTTCTCCTCTTTCTCCTCCT